CACTGGGGGGGGGGGGGAACACTAAAGATACTGGGAACCAGCAGTTCACGTAATGACTATGTCACTGGACTCCCATGTAGTCCACTGCAATTCAAATCTCAGAGTCAGTGGCGTAAACTCACACCAGGCAAATGTGCACCCATGCCCAAGATCCCTAGAGGCGAATGGAGGAGAAGGGATTGCAGCATGGCCATCCCCCCTGGGGGATGATTTCTCGCTTTCTGTGTCTCTCTGTCTTTCTGGTGAGCGCACATGCCTTATAGCAAAAACCTCTCAAAAAAAAAAAAAAAAAAAAGATACTAGAGATAATAGTGTACGTAAAGTAGCTTAGAGCTTAAGGAAGAGCTATCATATAATTTATCACTTATACCAGAATACTTCTGAGAGTGAAAAAGGGTACTATCAAAAATCACACCATGGGAACCAGCAGTTAGCATAATGGCTGTATCACTGGACTCCCACGTAGTCGACCGCAGTTCGCATCCTGGACCCGGTGGCTTTAAACTCACACCGGGCGTGTGTGCGTGCATGCCCAAGATCCTGAGAGGAGAATGGAGGAGAAGGGATTGCGGCGTGACCATCCGCCCTGGGGGGTGATTTCTCGCTTTCTGTCTCTATGTCTGTCTCTGTCTGTCTGGCGAGCACACACGCCCTATAGCAAAAACCTCTCCCAAAAAAAAGAAATCACACCAGAAGGGACCAGCAGTTAGCGTAATGGCTATGTCTAGACTACCACGTAGTCGATCGCAGTTCACGTTCCGGACCCGGTGGCCTAAACTCACACCGGGCGTGTGTGCATGCGTGCTCAAGATACCAGGAGGAGAATGAAGAAGGGATTGCGGCATGGCCATCCCCCCTGGGGGGTGATTTCTCACTTTCTGTCTCTGTCTGTCTGGCGAGCACACGCACGCTATAGCAAAAACCTCTCCAAAAAAAAAAAAAAAAAGGAAAAAACACACAAGAAGAATAACATTAAATAAATTAGGACTCTACTGGCAAACTAGAAATAAGGTCTCCTTGTTCTAAGGGTAAATGCCATCATCAATAATATTCATTAAATTGTAAATTGAACTAAAGTTATAATTTTTGAAGATGATTTATTCTACTACATCTAGAGAGAAAGTTTGAATAAGCACATAAAGAATATACATCTTTTGGATATTTGTTAATCCACTAAATTATGCCAACTTGAAATTAGAATGCAAGATGTACCTGACAAAAAGTTACTCATTCATTTATTATTTTGTTCTTTGTTCATTTTGTGAGTCTATTACATATCAAAAACAGTATCAGGGACCACCAGGTGGCATGGTGGTTAAAGTGCTAGACACCGCCACATGGCTGACCATGGTTCGAGTCTTGGACCCGGTAGCTTGCTTTCTCACTTTCTCTCTCTCTGTCTCCCTCTGGTCAAATTTAAAAAAATGAATAAATAAAATAAAATAAAAAACAGTATCAAAGATGAGGTAAAATCAAATGCCTGCTCTAAAGGAGGACAGAGGCCAGACAGTGATTCTCAAATAGCAGCAGTACTCCCAACTGGTTTCACCCAGCTCAAAGACATTTTGAAATAGATGAAGTGGTCCTATTTACAAAGCAGCGAGTGTTCTGTATATTAACTGGGCAGGGGAAATGAATGCAAAATGTCCTGAAACGTCAAAGAAAATCAGGCACACTGAATAATAAAAATATATATATATACATATTACCCATAACACCGATGGCATGGTTTTTTTTTATTATTTAATTTTATTTATTATTATTTAATTTGGTATAGCTCATGTGCGCAAGAGAAAGAGAAAGTGAAAAAGCAAGGTGTCAGGTCCAAGACTCAAAATGTAGTCAGCCATGTGGGAGTTCAGTGAAGTAACCATTATGCCACCTGCTGATCCCAATGGCATAGTTTTAATAATATTTTTTTCTTTTTCACAAGGCTAGTAGATACTACAAAGAATCTGCAAAACATTAGACAAAGATGAAACACCACATTCAATTCTGGATTTTAAATTATGTAACTTCTTACCATACTTAATTGGTCCTGTAGACTGTTCTTCATCACTGCTGAAGCTATTCTCTGAAACAGGTTTTCTCCAAAACTTTGGCCTCCACTTTCTTTTATCTTTGTAGGTTGTAAATGGAGGTGCTAAAATAGACAGGAGAAGATTGTGCATTGAATTCACTAGTTTTTAAAAATCATGCCGAAGGCTAGCCAAACAATACAAAGAATTTTATTTATTAGGGCTAGCAGGTAGCGTGGTGATTAAGGGAGCTGGACTCTTACATGGCTGACTGCAGTTTGAGTCGTGGACCCAGCGGCTTACTTTCTCACTTCCCCTCCCCTCTCTCACTCTGTCCCTCTCTGGTATGTATGTATGTATGAATAAATAAATAAACAACAAACGAATGAACGAATAAATAAAGTTAAATTAAAAATAAAAAAGAATTGTCGGGCAGACAGGTGGTGTGGTGGTTAAGGGCGCTAGACTCCCACATGGGCTACCGCAGTTCAAGCCCCAAACCTGGTGGCTTGCTTTCTCACTTTCTCTCTCTCTCTCCCCTTCTCTCTCACTCACTGTCCCTCTCTGGTCAAAATTTTTAAAAAATAAATAAAATAAATGAAGTTAAATAAAAAATAATACTTTAAAAATCTAATTGTACTTACTCTATTGTGTTAGTCAGAAATGATACATAGTTTATATTAAGAATTTAATGGGGCTAACCCTGTAGCCTAGTAAAGAGAAACAAATCCCACATGGCCAACCACCACTCCAATGTCAGCCCCAGCAACTTCAAAAACACGCTAGACATAAGTATGTGTATACCCAAGATCTTGACAGGGTGGAGAAATGGAGGAAAAGAGATTGCAGCAAGACTATGCCCCACTGGGGACTGTTTTCTTCCCCTCTCTTTCTCTGGCAAGCACATGCACACTCTGGCAATTAAAAAAGTATAAATAGGGCCAATAGGTGGTATGGAGGTTAGGGCTCTGGATACCACATGACAGGCTGTGCAGTTTGAATCCCAGACCTGGTGGCTTGGGAATCAAGCCAGGCATATATACATGCATGCCCAATATCCTGAGAAGAATGGAAAAAGGATTATAGTGTGGTCATGCCCCCTGGGAGGGGAGATGACTTCTCACTCTTCTTTATTTGCTCTGTCTCTGGCAAGTGCACATATCCTACAGCAAAAAAAAAAAAAAAAAAAAAAAAAAAAATTAAAAATTAAAAAATAAAGAGCATAACACCAAAAAGTTTGCTGACATACAGAAACTAAAGGGTCCTTTTCAGAAAGGTAGATACACACACATACACATACACACTTACTGTGACCTTTACTTTCATTGATATTGCTAACAAGGAGAACAGCCATCTGGTCCATTGACATTCGGTCTTTGTTTACTCCAAAAAGTTTCTCAACGTATTTTTCTGAAAATAAGAGCAATGCAGCCTTCATAAAAACACTGATTTGGAGATTAGGCTAATTAAAGAGTATGAAGCAAAGAGTAGTTTAAGAATTCAAAGAAGGTATATGGTATTAAATCAATAACAGCTATTAATATTTTAACTATCAATACATTATTTTAAATATTATGACAAATCCTACTACATCATATACCCAATTCAGCTGAAATAAATTATTTCCTGAAACAAATTAAACAACTAAGTACAAGTTACAGTTCCAAAGTAGAAATGATGAAATACTGGGTCATCAGAAAAGCCATGACATATTTTTCATGTTTTCCTATAAAAAATGTGTCATGGATTTTCCAACAACCTAGTAGGTTCGATGACTTCACAATCACTCTGAGTCATGATAACACCAAGTTTAGTAAATATTAATTTTCTTACTTCCAAAAGATATGTAGATCAAGGGTCATTATTTGGCATCAAATCAGATCAAAAGCTTAATACTTGCTCACAATGTCTAAGTGTATAAAATTCTTTCTATTGCTATTATAGAATTTTAAACTACAGCCAACTTAACTTCTAGCCCTCCTCGATTTCTGAAAACAGTAAACAAAAATAAGGACCTATGTTAAAACCATTACTAAAATTTCTATACAAATACCTTTAAATTTTCTCCTAAATCAGTTGAACTACTTAGATGACCTCTGTCTAAGAACTTTCTTTCTTTTTTTTTTTTTTTTTTTGGAGAGGATTTTGCTATAGAGCGTGTCCGCTCGCCAGACAGACAGAGAGACAGAGAGACAAAAAGCAAGAAATCACCCCCCGGGGAGATGGCCATGCCGCAATCCCTTCTCCTCCATTCTCCTCTCGGGATCTTGGGCACGCACGCATACGTGCCTGGCATGAGTTTAAGCCACCAGGTCCGGGACTCGAACCGCGGTCGACTACATGGGAGTCCAGCGACATAGCCATTACAATAACTACTGGTCCCTGTCTAAAAACTTTCTGCAATGATAGAAATATCTCTGGGTCAACTGGTGGCACACTGGTTAAGGTACTGGACTCCCGCATGGCCAATCATGTTCGAGTCCTGGACCTAGTGGCTTGAAACTCACACTGGGCACGTGTACATGCATGCCTAAATTCCCAAGAAGAGAATTGAGGAAAAGGGACTGCTATGTGGCCATCCCACCTAGGGGGTGATTTCTCACTTTCTGTCTCTCTTTCTCTCCAGTGAGCACTCATACCCTACAGCAAAAATCTTTCTCAAAGAAACAAAAAGAAAAGTCTTAAATCTGTGCTGTCTTACTGGAAGTACTTGCTATATATAGCTAATGAGTATGTGCAGTGTGGCTAGTGTCATTGAGAAAATAAGTTTTTACTTTTTAACTTTAATTAACTTCAAATAACAATAAATGGTTAGTGGTTACGAACAGCAGATCTAGGTAAAATGCCATAGGTATATGAACTGAATTATCACAACTACTTAAAGATGCCAACAACTGAGTATAAAATTTTTAAATTGCCTAAATTCAAATTTTCTTTTTGGGAAGAACAAAAAACTTTTAAAAACCTGCTGCAGCAGCAATTTCTTCATCAGTGCTTGTCTCTGAACAACCAATCAAAGACAGATTATATGACAGAATGTCTTGAAATAGCTGTTTTCGGTTAAGCGTATAGTCTTGTGTATGTTGCCTAAAATAAAATGACAATACAGAAAAGATAACCATATACATATCAAAGTCAAGCAATCAAAAATTTTAATTATAAAATACTCACAAATAATAACCACTCACCACTGACAATCATCATCATTACATGTTCCTGTTAAATCAAATCGGCAAAAACACTGATCTGGTTCAATCATATTACTGTATGATACTGAGCTTAGGGGAAGTTTCTCCTTGGTTCGATAGTATGGACTAAATCTAAAAAGACAGTAGACAAGCATATTAATGATCTATAAACATTCCTCAGAAACCTGGAAATTTTGTACTCCTCAGTTAAAATTTCTATACTTTGTGCTGAATATTTATCTAACTAAATTAAGACCAAAATTATCTCTAGAAAACAGCCAAAATATCCTATTCTCTTGATACATTAGTATTTCTTGCAGGTATTATTACTCAACACAAAAAACTAGGGGAAAAGTGAGATTTTATAAAAATCATACCATTCAGTCTCACAACTACTAGAAGTCTAGAAACTTTGTAAAACAACTTCCCACAAAGTTTATTACCTAAGAATGTCTAAATCAATTTTTTTCTTTTTTTTGGAGAGGTTTTTGCTATAGGGCACGTGCGCTCGCCAGACAGAGAGAGACAGAGATAGGAAAGCGAGAAATCACCCCCCAGTGGGGATGGTCACGCCGCAATCCCTTCTCCTCCATTCTCCTCTCAGGATCTTGGGCATACATGCACGCACCTGGCGTGAGTTTCAAGCCACTGGGTCCGGGGACGCAAACCGCGGTCAACTACGTGGGAGTCCAGCGACATAGCCATTACGCTAACTGCTGGTCCCCTGTCTAAATCAATTTTGTGAAGCCTGGCCAATGCATTCCTTAGACTGAACCATAGTAAACCTAAAAACTAAAACTACTCACATAAGACTCCACTTATTTTTCCTAAAATCCTTAACAGACAAGAAACTTAGGATTCTCATTTCCACTAGTACCCAAATGCCAGAATTTAGTAAGAAGATAAACCCAAAGTGAACTAAATAAACACCTCACTTCCTTGTAGGGTTAGAGTTCAATACCAAGACAAAACTTTTATTTTCCCTAAAAGGACAAGTCCATTTTGCAGTGACCATGATTCTATATCATTTTCATTATCATCAAATATTCAAAGTGAATACTAAGAACCCAAGGACTAATCCTGAAATTCAAGTTAATTCAATCTTTGTTTTATACCTGTAAGACTTAAAAACTAGAAGAGGACTATGGTAGGGGCTAAAAGGACACGGTTTCACTTCTGTTGTTTTACTCTGCGCTGTGACAAAATCCACATCCACAGAAATCTCCTGCAAAACAAAGCAATAATTCTATTAGGCAAAAAGGTAAGGGGCAAATTCAAGATTTCATAAAGATTATGAAATGCTCAGTTACCTGACCATGCAAAACCTTTTCTGTAACGCTTGTGGTAGTTTTTAAAATCAGTTGTTTTAAGCTGTCAGCTTTCAAATATAATCTTTGTAATTCACCAATTTTTAACCCTAGAAAAAGTTCTGGTTTTTCTACACTATTTTTAGCAAGTTTGTTAATACATTCTTTGTTAGGGGTATCAGTGTGTTTAAGGTTAGGTTTAGTAAAAGAATTGGATTCCAAGAAGGATCTTCTTCGTTCTCTGTTTGAACCACACAAAATTTCATCATCAACATCATTTTCTTCAGTGTCCAGGGTTAATTTATCTTGTGTCAGATCATGAAGTGAGGGTTGAGGTAAAGAAAATTCAGGTTCCTCTTCCACAACTGCAGTGACATTTTGTTGTTCTTTTGCTTTGAGGGCCCGGGCTTCTTTCAACTTTTGAATCTTCAGGGCATATTCATATTCTAGCTTTTGTAAGCGTCTTTTTTCCATAGCAATTAGTTCTGCTGAATGCTTTCTTGGACTTGATATGGGAGAAGTGTCTAGTCTCATCATTTTGTTTGGCTAAAGGAAGGAAATGATAGAAATGTCTTGCATCACTGTGATTTTATAAATAAGTCTTGGTAAGACAATTGTGTTATGCCTACAATACTGTGCAAAATAATAAGACTAAATCATGAAGAACAAAATTATTTAATGTACGTTTACAAAAGTTTTTGCTAATTATATGGCCTACAATCAAAAAACAAGACAAAATAAATTTTAAAAGTATCCAAAAGTGTGAACAGTTTAAAAACAAGGCTTTAATCTTATTCTCTCTGAATTAGAAGAAAAAAATAAGTTATCTTATGCATCTTCTATTCTTGAAAATATCATAAAAACCATCTTCTTTCCAAATATTAAATTTTTTCCATAAATAACTTACTCCAAGGCGATCTTGTTCCAGTTTCCGTTTTCCTATTTCTTTACTAGCCACTGCTTTTGCCCGAGCAAGCTCTTCTCCATATTTAAGAGTCAAAGCTTTTTTAATTGTAACACGTTGTTGAACTTTATGAATCTGAAAATACAGGACAATTATGTAAATGCAAATGAAAACATTAAGAAAGAAAACATCTTTTTCTCACACAAAGTGGATTTAGGGTATTCAAATGAAAATAAAATATATATCAGCGTTATGTTTCAATGAAAAACTATAGATTACACTTACTTTAATGGTTTTAGTTTATGAAGTTTTTTTGCGTCACAGAAAACTCAAACTATAAAACTGTGTAATAAACACAATACTTCTGATAATTGAATTTAAAAGAGAACATTACTTGTTCCTGAAGCTTCTTCAAAAACATTCTATTGACACTGAGAATTTTCTCAGTTGCTTGAAGTTGCTCTGTAAGTTTTGTAATCTTTGTTTCAGCATTTCGAACAGACTCTTTCTTCTTAGCTTCTTGCTGCACTAGATTTTTTAAAACAGATTCATCTTTCATCAAGAGAATCCTGAACGGAAAAACACAAAATTCTTAATGTTTTCTGAACTAGCAGACTAATGCCATGAGAACAAAAAAATTTCAAAGAAATAGTGCATTTAAAAAAAAACATTATCTATGATTTACAAGTGAGAATTTAGAAAGGTAAATGTTTTTATTCTCAATTATACATACTGACAAATTATATGAGCATCTGTGTCTGATCTCACAAAAAAATCATTTATGCCTCAGTTAATGAATACCACAGGTGAAAAACTTACAGAAAATATTGAGTGTTGGTTAAACCTGATCCAATATGGGTGCTAAACAATAAAGACTAAGTTGATGTGTTTGGCTTCACTTATAATGCTCCTAATATATAAAACGCCTAATAAACATTATTTAACATATTTAAGTAATTTATAATCACTAACTTATTAGTAAAGCAAGGAAAGGGAGAAGGAAGACCAATTTTTAAATAAACAGATATACAAAAGTTAAGAACTAAGAAATAAACACAGGTCAAAAAGACAAACTTATAGATACGAATAAAAATAAAAGTCCTTAAGTATTTTTAAACTACTGAATACTACAGTTTCAAAAATGGATCAACTTCTCAGAGAGGTTGAGAGGTAAGATTTCAACAGTCACAACTATTGTTATGTACAATGAATTGTAAAGGACATAATATGTGAAAAAAGGGATAAGTGGAAAGACAAGAATTTTTAAAACTTTCCTTTATTATAAAAGTTTTTAAAGAAATAGAATCTAAATTAGTTTATCTTAAGCTCTAACTTTTACAAGATATACAATACCACTTCTCACTGATGATTTAGGAAATTTATTTGCATTTCATCTACAAAGCACACCTTCCAGATATCTAATATCGAGATGTATCTTAACATTTCAACATGTCATATTTTGTTTTTTGGTTTTTATTTTTTTTAAGAGAATTTTTACTATAGGCCATGTGTGCTTGCCAAAGAGACAGAGACAGAAAGCAAGAAATCACCCCTCCAGGAGGATGGCCATGCCACAGTCCCTTCTCCTCCATTCTCCTCTCAGGATTTTGAGCACACATGCACACACACCCAGCACGTGTTTTAAGCTACTGGGGCCAGGACTCGAACCATGGTCGACTAGGTGGGAGTTCAGTGACGTAACCATTATGCCATCTGCTGGTGCTACATGTCATATTTTGACTAGTAGCATTTTTCTAAGTAGCACACAAACAGATGACATACTTAGATGCAATGATTTAAGGTAGTTTGGACAGGAAAAATATTCAAAACTGAAGATATTTATAATACCATTTTTTAAAAATTTGCCAGAGGGCATGTGGGCCCACTAGAGAGAGAGACACAGACAAAGAGAGACAGAGAATGTAATAAAGTATCCCCAATGAGAAATGAGAAGCACTTTCCTCTCTTTCTTTTTTCCTCTTTTCAGGATTCTAGACACACATATACTTACATTCAGCTTGTTTTTCAAGTTGCTGGGTCTGGGACTCAAACCATACAAGTTGGCTGTGTGGAAGCCAGTGACCTTGCCACCTGCTGGTCCTAAATACTTTATATATATATATATTTTTTTTTAAGAATTATTTCTATTTAACTTTCTTTATTATTATTATCATTATTATTTTCCAGTTTGATCAGAGAGAGACAGAGAGAGAGAAGTGAGAAAGCAAGCCACCAGGTTTGAGACTTGAACTGTGGTCAGCCATGTGGGAGTCCAGCGCCTTTAACCACCATGCCACTTGCCAGCCCCACCTAAATACTATTTTTAAATGTATTTTATACACTAATGAATTTGAATAAATTCAATCTTTCAACACGTCCATCTTCTGAAGTTTTATACAATTGTCATAATTTTCAAAAACCATTTGAACACATCAAAGATATTTATGACCATAATTAATCACATCACATTCATAACACCACGTATTCTGATCACATCTTAATGACTATTTTCAATAATCAAGCCCACATTTAACAATAAAAATATGCTTCCATGAAGATATTTTAAAAAATATGCCCAAGTTTTTAAAGAAAATTTCAAAATGAGTTTTATAAATGTTCTTAGCAATGAATAGATAATTTATCAATCTAAAAAAAAACAAATATACTCTAAAGGCTTGTTATTTTCATTTAAACATTAATTCTATTATTTTATATAAATGTATAATTCAACAAATGACAGATTTCTATAGTTCTATAGTGTAAATAATATATAACCTATAGGATGCTTATTGATGACATATGTCACAAAAATATATCCCTCTCATATAGGAACAAATTGATAATCAAGTATTTAATCAGATCATGAGGCTCACCTGTGTTTTTTAAGTTTTGCTTCTGCATCTGTAACCTGCTTAGTAACCATTGCTATTCTGCCAATTCCATCAATTTCTACATCAGAATTTGCTGGAGATGATGAACTTGTCTTAAGTTGATCTGATTTAAGCAAACGCTGTTTTTCACGGCTAAAATAATCAATAAAAGCAGATGCATTACACCAAAAAACAAATAGAAACCATTTTTCTTTAAAATGTATCCTATTTCATAAAAAGAATTGAAAATATTAATCACACTGACTAATAAAAATGATGTCAATATATATGACCGAAGTTGGCATTCAAAGCTGACAGTGTAGTTCTCTGAGTGCTTTCGTCTTTTTTCTAAGCTGGTTATAGCTCAGTACTTCGCTAATATTCAAGTACATAGATGATCATCTGGCTCCCCCTTCTGTGTGTTCTAAAAACACTAACTCTGCATCTAGGACAAAATCATCATCATTCATCCCCCACTATCAATAAGCTTTATATAGAATACAGGAAGTTTTGAAAACAGCACATACCTTTAAAGTTAATTATATAAAATTCCACTTACTTGGCAATCTCTTCCTTTAACAATCTATATTCGATCTTCTTCTCTTCAGGCAAAGCTTCAGGTGTTCGCAAAGGATCATTTTCCTTTTCGGATTTTGGAGGGACTTTTGGTTTTGAAGCTTGCTAAAAATACATTTAAAGTCAACCAGGTTCAACAGCTTTCAAAATGCTACACTAAGGTATATTTTACATTGCAAATCAGTATACACTGATTAAAAAAAAATAACTGAATGTCTTCATCATTTTCTATTCCTTTTTTTCTCCTTTGCAATAAAACACTGACTTTTATCTGGAGTACTGTATTAGTTTTCTCTTGCTGCTATAACAAATTACCACAATTTAGTGGCTTGAAAATTATATATAATTATATATTTACACAATTGTAGTTATGGAAACCTGAAGTCAGTTGACTAAAGTCAAGCTGTCGGAAGGCCCACATCCTGAGGCTTTAGGGGTAGAATCTATTTCCTTGTCTTTTCCAGCTTCTAGAGGTCCCATATATGGCTCAGCTCTCTCTCTCTTTTTTTTTTTTTTTTCAGTTTTTTTTTTATTTCATTTTCTTTTATACATTCGATCACATTATTTAGCGTACAAAGTGAATATTCCAACATGTGAACATTTTTCCCTAGTCACTTGTCTATTCCTATTTTAAAAATAAGGCTGGTTGTTAACTACCAAATTAATTGTATTATCCACCAAATAGACAAGCAATTTGAAAATCATTGTACAACACTGTAAACTGTTGCTATAGGACAAACGATAAAAGTTGTATACTTAGATCCTATACTTATGACAATAAATTTCTAGTACAAAGGAAAATCTATCTCATTTTATTTTGAAAAGGAGACTAGTTAATTAGAAAATAAACTAGATTTTCTCTTATTTGCTGTAGGGTGTGTGCATTCACTAAACAGACACAAAGAGAGGAAAAGTGAGAAGTCACTCCCTGGGGGTTCTCCACACCACAATCCCTTCTCCTCCATTCTCCTCTCAGGATTTTGGGCATACATGCCCAGCCTGTTTTTCAAGCAGCCAGGTCCAGGACTCAAACCACAGTCAGCTATGTGGGATCCAGCTGCCTTAATCACCACACTGCCTGGCTGGCCCTAAGACATTTTTAATAGGACAATCTAACTTCATACATGCTTTGTTATATACAACCCTAATAGCACAAAACTTAAAATCTTGCAACAAATCAATATATTTTAAAAAACTGTAATTTGGGGCCAGCAGGTAAGACAGTGGTTAAGGTGCTAGACTCTCACATGGCTGACTGTGTTTGAGTCCTAGGCTTGGAATCTTGCTCTCTCTCTCTCTGTCCCTCTCTGGTATGTTCTGTAGCAAAAACTAATAAAAATAATAACTAGTAAAATTAAATAATTTTTCTTAAATCTATAATTCTAAGGTCTTATTTTTCAGAAAGGATAAAGCTTTAATGTTTGTCAACAGAGCATCTTTCTTTTCACCTTTCATTACTGTAAACTTACCTCAGCAGTTCGTCGTGCTTCTTTAATCATGGACTCTAATCCACCAAAAACACTATTTGTTGACTTGGAAGTCTCTCCATCAGACTCACTATCATCCGAATCATTTAGTGTGACAACTACCGATTTATGCTTTGGAAGCTACAAGAACAATATAATTGTTACTCTTAATAACAAAGGTATATCCATTCTTTTCTTAGATCTACCACAATTACATGCATAACTTTTGACAAGTCATTTAACCTCTTTGAATTTCAATCCATAAAAATAATGAACTCCATGTAGTCAATAGCCTGCTTTGGTTATATTACACAATTAATTGTGTCCTATTCTACAAAGGACAGTTATGTACCAAAAATAAAATATTCTATATTCTTCTTTATTTTTAAGAATTTTTTATTTATTTAATAATAATTATTTAATTTGCTATAGGGCACCAGAGAGAGACAGAGAAGGGAGAGAAAGAAAAAAAGCAGCTGCCAGGTCTGGGACTCAAACCATGGACAGTTATGTGGCAGTCCAGCACCTCAACCACCATGCCACCTGCTGGCCCCAATATATTCTATTTTTTTTTTCGTTTTGTGTTTGTTTTCTCATTTATTTGTTTTATTTTAATTTGACCAGAGGGGAACAGAGTGAGAGAAAAAGTGAGAGAAAGTGAGAAAGGAAGCTACCAGGTCTGCTATTCGAACTACAGTCTGCCATGTAGAAGTCCAACACCCTGAACCACCACGCCACCTGTCAGTCCCTGCCTGCCCCTATATATTCTTAACAGTCTTTCTAGACATTACTATGATCACTTTCCTCATTAAATTTATTTTCTCTAGCTTTCTATAAAGAACTATAAAAATCCATATAAAATAACTCATTTAAATCCAAAGAAAAACTATTAATACTACTACATACTCATCAATGAAACTTGCAGTCTTTGTGATTATATATAGAGCACAAGTGGCCAAAACTGGTTTACCTAGTGCAGCAAGATTTCAATGTGGCTTTGCTCCATTTATTTTTTTTACCTTGAAGCCACTAGAACCACATTTCCATCTCCTTTAAATAAACATAATAAATGCTTCCTTTACAGCATAGACATTGGTTAGAAAAGAGGAACAAGGTATAATAAAAAATGGAAGAAACAAAAGCTATTACAATTTGTTAACACAGACTCCAAAAACAGAAAAATCTAAATGGGTCCATTTCTATGGAAAAGAACATGAGGAAAAAGCATGAGAAAGTACAGGAGAAGCCAGCATGCAACATGGTGGTTAAGGCACTAGCCTCCCACAGGGCAGACCACGGTTCAAGTTCCAGACCTGATAGCTTGAAAATCGCACCAGAAATGTGTGTGCATGCCCAAAATCCTGAGAGGAGAATGGAGGAGAAGGGATTGCAGCGTGCCCATTCCCCCTCAAGGGTGACTGCCCTCTTTCTGTCTCTCTCTGACAAACACACACACCCCTATAGCAAAAACATAAAGAAAAATAGAAAAGACAGTATAAGGATAAAGTTCATGGAAAAACAGAACTAAACTATGACTTTACTTTGGTGTAAATGTTTTTTGAGATCCATGTATTTATTATTTATAATACACATTTTCTAAGAACTCTTCAATGACCCCTCATAATGCTCTCATGAGCACAAAATATATAACTTTTCCAAACACAGTACCATCGAACTCTAACAGCTTTCAAATAAGGATACCATCCTACTCTCATTTCATCATTAATAAATAAAAATTAAAGAAATAAAAAGTATGTATAAAAACATGTGTGTCCATAAACCAGGGGATGAGACAGTAAAACTTTATGCAAATTTCTCAAGAATTATTTTTAAAAAAGCACTCAATTTTTTGTTTGTTTTTACCGAGATTACAGTTCGTGGAAGACGAGGTCCTCTATGAAACTTTGGATTTTGTATCCTAGGCTGAGACACTGTATTAATACTGACTATTGACAGATTGCTTCTTGGCATAGGCTGTGAATTGTTCAAAAGCGGAGGTGAAGGTGGGTCACTATTACTGGATGTTTCCTAAATAAATAAGAGACAGGTATAAAACATTTCTAAATAAAACATAATTTCTCTCATTTTAAAAAGCTAGAGCAAATTAGACTTTCTCTACATTGCTCAAAAGCAAAAGAAAAATCTCAAAAAACAAGAAAAAAGTAGGACTACCCTAAACTAAGCTCAAGATCATTTCCTAGAAGTTCAAGTATATAAATTACCTCTGGCTTAAAAGCTCTTTTATTTGCTAGAGACTTCAGTAGCTCTTCTCGAAGCAGCATTTCTTCCTCCTCTTCCTCATCTGCAAAAGGTGGTTTTGGCGGCTGTTCTGGGTCTTCAGGTGGGAGAGGTGGTAAAGGAGGTTGCGGAGGTAGAGATTCAAGAGAAACACACAAGCCTTCCACATAAGGCTGGCTCAAAGGTGGTATAGACTATTTTTAAAAAAACAAATAATCATTATGAGTTTTACCAGCTTTAATGTTTACTGCCAGAAAAGTGTTAATCTAGAAAAAAGTAAACTAGGTTATCATTTCAGCTATAATTATAGTGAATGAACTAAGTATTATAATTCTCAAAGCTAACTTATAATTCAATATTTGACCATAAGAGTAGTATTTTTGCAATTTAAAAAATCGGCACTGGGGCCAGCAGGTGGTGTGGTGGTTACAGAGCTGTAGTTTGGGTTCCAGACCTACGGCTGACTTACTCAGTTTCCTTCTCTGTCTCTGTCTCTGGTGAACATGTGTGCCTATAGCAAATTTTAAAAAATAATAATTATAATAAAACAAAATAATTCTTTAAAAAAGGGCAATATATAAAACTTTAATGATTTTCAAGATAACTACACAAACTTCACTGTTCCTGTTCATATCCCCAGTTACCAACCTAAAAAGGTATAAAAATCAAATTATAGCATTTCTTCTTCAGCCAGGGAAGAGCATTGGTGTAGAGGGACAGTAAATGCCATGGCTTACAGCCATGCTTTGGCGAATCCCTCAGATGTGTGGCCATCGGCCCTACGTCTGTCATTTATATTGTTGAAGCATTCTTTGTATCCCTGAGTGTTGCAGCTTTTTCTAAGTTTGCTGTGGTTGAACCAAGAAAGAAGGCATATGCAGATTTCTACAGAAATTATGATTCCATGAAAGATTTTGAGATGAAGAAGGCTAGTATCTTTCAGTACAAAGCAATTTTATATGTAAAGAATGTCACTGGATTGGTTCCATGTTCCTGAACTATGAAACATGAATATATGGGCTAAGAAATGGTTTCTTGATAAATAAAATCTGTAGACAGTTAAAAAAAAAAAAGATATCTTTTCCTCTAGATTATTACCCCTAAAGATCTTAAAACAAAACCATATACTTAAGTACAAAATAAAAACTAGCAACAAAAGAGATTCTGGGAATACTTCAGCATATTTAAGCATAAAGAAATTGCCATTACTCTCCTTAATTTTTCTAAAATGGCTCTTTACAGATTACTTATAAACAAACTAAAATTTTACACAAATCTCCAAGTTTGGATATATTTTTACTTCAAAAACCTTCTGATATTTCTCTTGCCATTCAGTTCATTCATTTTCTAGTTCCCAAAACATTTCAATAAGAAAAAAATGCCATCTTCTCTCTCACTGTTATATTCCCTTCCTATAGCCTTCTTAGAAAGACATCAGAAGTCTTCCTAGAAGATGTGAAATTGAAAGGTTCCCTCTTGCCTACTGAGAGATATTACCCCACTTTTTTTTTTTAAGTTTTTCCTATAGGAGGCATGCACACTCCAGAGACAGAGAGGGAAAGCAGAAAGATCACCATCTAGGGGGGACAACCGTATCTCAATCCCTTCTCCTCTTGGGATTTTGGGCATGCACGCACGCACGCACGCACACACACACACACACACACACACACACACACATTTCCTTTTACTCCTTTAGTTTTTTTGATTGGTTTGTTGCTTTTATTTTTAAATGGGAGGTTAGTAGTTCTCCCTAGAGGAAAACAAATTAGCTTCCATAGGCAGTTTTCCTTCTGCCTGGCTTTCAAGTTAAAATAAATGTACTTATCAAAAGTATAGAAAGGAAAGGGGCTCAGGGCCAGCAGGTGGTGTGGTGATTAAGGTGGCTAGACTCCCACAAGGCTGACCATGGTTCAAGTCCCGGACCTGGCAGCTTGCTTTCTCACTTTCCTTCTCTCTCTGTCTCTGGTCAACTTCAATGAAATAAGTAAATAATGAAAATGAATAAAATAATTCTTTAAAAAAAAAAAAAAAGAAAAGAAAAAGAAAGGAAAGGGGCTGGATTGTGGGTCAGCAGTAAAAGACACGATTCTGTGATTCTGTGAGGCAGATCCATGTGGAAAGGTTCCCATTTGGGTCCAGAGATCTCCCTGAGAACACAGGGCATGGCATGAATACTCCCATGGTCCCAGTTGGTTCAGCATACACAGTGACATCGAGATCCTGTCAACGGTGTTGTATTTCTAATAGAATTCAAAAAAAAAAAAAAAATGGAAAAAGAAGTATAGGAAGGAGAAAAGGGACCAGCAGATGGCACAATGACCATACCGCTGGACTCCCACGTCATCAATAGCAGTTTGAGTTCCGGATCCAGTGGCTTCAAACTCACACCAAGCATATGTGTGTGTGTGTGTGTGTGTGTGTGCCTGAAATCCTGAGAGGAGAATGGAGAAGGGACTGCAGCTTCATCACCCCTTGGAGGTGATTTCTCACTTTTTGTTCTCTATCTCTCTAGCGAGTGTGCATGACCTATAGCAAAAAATCCCTTTATTTAAAAAAAAAAAGAAAAAGAAAGAAAGAGAGAGAGAGGGAAAGGAGAAAATTACTTTTTAGGAATATCCTAATGTGCCTAAATTCCAATTCTCCAAAAAAAGGAATCCAAAACAACAGATGATTTTAATTATGCTTTGAAATAAGTATTATGAGTATAACTAGCTGAGAGGCAAAGAGAAAAAAGAAGAAAACACACTAGTTACTAAAAGTCAACGTGAAATTAAAATTTAACTACAAAAAAATCTACCAAATGGATAGCCTGCAAGTTTATTCTGTATATTTAATTATATATATTTCACAGCTACTAATTCTAGAAAGAAATTCTGATTGTTAAACCCTTCCAAAACCTAACCATTCACTAATTACATGTCAGTTTTTGTTAAACCCTTTTAAAACCTAACCATTCACTAATTACATGTCAGTTTTTCAAAACAATTTAGAAAAGAAACTAGGAAACAAAATAATTTTGTTTAAAAATCATATCAATTCTGACTTACAGAAACCTGAGGTGGCGGAGGCAAAGAATTAGATGGTGCTGAAGGAAAATATCCCAATGAACAGTCAGAAAAGAATGGTGGTTGTACTGGTGAAGGAGCTGTAAAAACAATTTTTGGTAAGAGTTTAATAACAGAAATACTTTGACAGGAATATAGTAATATTAAATATTAAATACAGAAATTTATGTTTGGAGAAATATAAATATATCTAAGTGGAGAGTAAATTAAATTTATCAATCTACAATAAGATCTTTAACATTCGAGACCAGCAGTTGGCATAATGTTTATGTTGCTGGACTCCCATGTACTCAACTGTGGTTCGAGCCCTGGACCCAGTGGTTTAAACTCACGCCAGGCATGTGTACATGTACTCCCAAGATCCTGAGAGGAGAATGGAAAAGAAGGGATTGCAGTGTGGCCATTCCCCCTGCGGGGGGATCTCTCACTTTCTGTCTCTGTCTTTCTGGCATGCGCACTCACACACCCTATAGCAAAAACTTCTTCAAAAAAAAAAAAAGATCTTTAACATTTATTGAGTCTACCTTCTAAAACTGTGCTATCAGCATAAAGTCACGTCTGTCCCAATGGCACAGGTGTTAAGCACTACGTAGAGGAAGCCAGATCCCACGTGGCCAACCAAGGGTTTGAGTCCTGGCCTGAGGACTTGAAAAATACACCAGTTGCACACATGCATATCCAGGATCTTAAAATGATAGAGAATTAATTAGAGGAAAAAGGATTATGGTGTGACCATGCCCCACTGGGGGGGTGCTTTCTCTGTCTTGTGTGTACACATGTGCCCCCTGGCATAAAAAATTAAGTAAAGCCAGCTATTCACTTTCAGCTGAGCTTTATGACATTTACACATTCAAAACTCACTTAGTTCCATTTATCATCTAATAATGATAGCAAGGAATAGAGTCAGAAAGGCTAAAAACATATATATCTATTTTAGATACATAAAATATATATGTAAAGAAGTATTTACTTAATTATATATTATTATTATTATTATTATTATTATTATTACTACTACTATTATTATTTTAATTTGACCAGAGAGAAACAGAGAGAGAAAGAGAAAAGGAAGTGAGAAAGCAAGCCACCAGATCTGGGACTCAAACTGCACTTGGCCATGTGGAAGTCCAAAGACTTAACTACCACACTACCTGTGCCAGCCCCATATTTATCCATATATATTTTTTTAACACACTTTTTAAGCAGTTATAAAACAAAAAAATTCCCCTAAATCTTGCCAAAGTGCTCTAGCCAAAGGGAAACAGCGATGTGGTGACTTCACTTTCCCTTCAGGTGGAACAAAGGAAAGTGAGGCCATACTATCTAAGCTGTGTGGAAATGAAAGAGAACAGAACTGGGAATGTGAAGAACTGGCTGCTGTATTTATAAGGTGCTTTTTTTTAACATTTTAACAACTTTGAAATAATTAAAATTAATGCAGGTCATTTAAATTCTAAATATTTTTCTTCCTTAGTAATAGATAAAAATAACCGTACAATTTGCCTTTAATGATTTCTTAAGTTCACTGAAAATACAGTAGATTAGAAGATTAGTTATCCTTCCTACTAAACGTATAACCACAGGGAAAATCTTTAACCCAGCTGTGTCACAAGTCAATACACATATTACATACACGTCTTTCATGGGGTTGATTTGAGGGCCAAATGAGATCAGAATATACATTTACCGTTAGAACATTTTGCCCTTTTTTTTTTTTTTTTAATTTCGCTAGAGGAAAGGGAAAAAGTGAGAAAGCACCTCCCCCATGGGAGTTGATCACGTTGCAGTCTGTTTTCCTCCATTTCTCCTTCCTTTAAGGATTTTCAGAACACATGCACACGTTCCTGGCATATTTTTCAACCTCTGCGTCTGGACTCCATCAGAGCAGTTAGCCATGTGAGATCCTACCACCTTAACCATCACACTACTAGCTAACTCCATCGTTTTTTAAGTTTATTTCTTTCTTTCGGACAGACACCAATAGCAACCTCAATAGGGTCTTCACATCACAATCTACCACCAAGTCTGGCCACTCTGGATCATGGGTGCACACACACTCCAGACACAAACCCAGAACCTTCCCATGTGGGTCAGACTTGCAGAGCATCCTACTTTATAGCTGTGGTGCCATGTAGCCCACACTTATTAAAAATATAAATACAAAAAATAAATAAATAAAAATATATATATATAAATATCTAGCAACAGCCATAATGGCACAAGCAGCCAGATGCTACAATACAAGGCCACATAGGAGACCCAGGTTTGGATCATAGATCAACCTAAAAACACATCAAGAGTGGTACCATGCCTGTAATCCTAGCTAACTTGGAAGTTATGGCAGAGGACTGCGACAGCAAGACCCTGTCAGAAATACCTATCTACCTGTCTATTTATGTATTTCTCTCTCCCCAACTCCTGCTCATGCATGCACATACTGTCTTTCTCATAAAAAATACATATATATATAAATACATATGTACAACTCTGTATTTAATACAGCAAAATGTTAAATTTGGACAAAGCTGAGTAGGGAGTATATTCTCTCTATAAGGATTTTTAATAAAATTATTATTTTGTATAACAAAGGGCACATGTGTGCACATGAGGTAGGGAAGAAAGGAGAAGAAAGAGAAAGTACCCCCTATAAGACCTCCCCAATCACATCAAAATAATTCTTCCTCCAATTCTCCATCTTTTCAGGATCCTGAGTACATGCCCACTTATCTGGTGTGTTTTTCAAGTCTTTGGGGCTGGGACTTAAACCTTGGTTGGCAATATGGGATCTAGCTTCCTCTGTGTACCTCTTAATCACTGCACTACAGAACTAGCCTCTACAAAATTATTTTAAAAGATATATCATAAAATTATTCTATAGCAATACTGAACATTAACATTTTCAGTACTCAGGAATTACAATGAATCAGCTCTAAGAACCTGTAAGGAAGAAAATAAAAAATTAAACACAGATGGGACCAGCAGGTGGCATGGTGGTTGAGGGCACTGGACTCCCACATGGTTGACTGTGGTTCGAGTACTGCACCAGGTGACTTGCTCTCTATCAATCTCTTCTCTCTCTCTCTCTCTAGTAAAAATTGAAAAAATAATGATAATAAACAATTTTTAAAAAAAAAAAATTAAACACGGGGAGTTAAATTATGAAATCAGAACATAAGATAATGTAAGATAATCAAACACTAGCCTAAACATGAAAATGAGTGCTTTCGGTAAACATTACCCAAATCATATATATTTTGCTTTGTCTCTAGACATACTAAAGTAGGATTCTAGTTCTGATTTGGCCTCAAAGTACTACCAAAGGAAGAAATATATTGATTATAAACAGTCTTTTCAAGTAAGTACTCCAGCCTAAAATGGCAACTGCATTCTGTTATCAGTTTTAAATTCATGAGAGAATGGATCTCTCACAGCCAATTACCCTGGAACATCAACAAAAGCAAGTTTTCAGCCATCAAAGTCAGTTTGTAGGCTATGCAAACTAATGAAGTACCGTTCCAAGCAGCCTTTTGGAAATGCCACTCACACACTTCCCATATCCAAATTCCTAAAAAGAATCAGCAATGGAAGGAGGTATGATCCTAACAGTACAAAATATTTTTCTTTTTTGGACTAAAGTAGAATTTTGGATATAAAGAACAAGTTCCATTTTTTGGGGGGGGAGAGAGGTTCTTTGTTATAGGGCGCATGCACTCGCTAGAAAGACAGAGAGAGAGAGAGACAGACAAACAGACAGAAAGTGAGAAATTACCCCACAGCGGGGATGGCCAGCCGCAATCCCTTCTCCTCCATTCCCCTCTTGAAATCTGGGGCATGCACACACATGCACCCAGCGTGAGTTTAAGCCACCGGGTCCAGGACTTGAACCACGGTCGACTACATGGAAGTCCTGTGACACAACCATTACGCCAACTACTCGTCCCAAGAACAAGTTCTTTTCGTTACTTTTTTCAAAGTCAGTGTCCGCTTCTTTCCTACAATCTTCAATTTTTAGATCAAATTGTTAACAGTTTAAATAATACTTTTTTTATATATTAAATATTTATATTCTATCTTTCAAGAATAGTTGGGAATAAAGGTTAGTATTACATATGTAAGGTTTGCTCTTTAAGTAGCTACAATACCAAATAAAGTATGCAATTATACAATCCATCAGAAAATCTTAATTTCATTACATAGTTCTAAGTTCTGGGTATCTAAGTGGCTATTCTCTATTTAAAAATTGTGTATATGCTAATATTTCAAGTTTTGACTCATACCTGGAGAACTGGTTTCACTATCCGTATCCATAGCAACTTCTTCATAATTGTCATATTGATAAATGCCTCCTCCGCTATCTGTAGGTTGCTTATCTAAGGATCTCTTCAGGTCAGGATCTGAAGACTAAGATTACACATTTATTTTAGTTTCAAAGCATTTTCTGTCTTAGGCTATTCTTGGACTCATGCACCCAGCGTGAGTTTAAGCCACCGGGTCCAGGACTTGAACCACGGTCGACTACATGGAAGTCCTGTGACACAACCATTACGCCAACTACTCGTCCCAAGAACAAGTTCTTTTCGTTACTTTTTTCAAAGTCAGTGTCCGCTTCTTTCCTACAATCTTCAATTTTTAGATCAAATTGTTAACAGTTTAAATAATACTTTTTTTATATATTAAATATTTATATTCTATCTTTCAAGAATAGTTGGGAATAAAGGTTAGTATTACATATGTAAGGTTTGCTCTTTAAGTAGCTACAATACCAAATAAAGTATGCAATTATACAATCCATCAGAAAATCTTAATTTCATTACATAGTTCTAAGTTCTGGGTATCTAAGTGGCTATTCTCTATTTAAAAATTGTGTATATGCTAATATTTCAAGTTTTGACTCATACCTGGAGAACTGGTTTCACTATCCGTATCCATAGCAACTTCTTCATAATTGTCATATTGATAAATGCCTCCTCCGCTATCTGTAGGTTGCTTATCTAAGGATCTCTTCAGGTCAGGATCTGAAGACTAAGATTACACATTTATTTTAGTTTCAAAGCATTTTCTGTCTTAGGCTATTCTTGGACTACAAATCACAAAAGAATTGACAATTATTTTCTTTTTTTAAAAAAAAAAAAAAATATTTATTTAATTTCATTTATTAAGTCATTTATTTTAATTTGATCATAGAGAGACAGAGAGAGAAAAAGAGAGAGAGAGATGGAAATTGAGAAACAAGCCACCAGGTCCAGAACTTGAACCATGGTCGGCCACGTGGGAATGTCCAGCGCCTTAACCACCACGCCACCCACTGGTCCCAGAATTGACAATTATTTTCTAAGAACAGTATTAAAAGTTATAGTGAGGGACCAGCACATGATGTAATAGATACATCACAGGACTCCCACATAGTCTACTGCGGTTCAAGTCAGGGACCCAGCAGCTTAAAACTCACGACAGGCATATGTGTGTGCATGCCCAAAATCCCAAGAGGAGAATGGAGGAAAAGGGACTGCAGCATTACCATCTTCCCTGTGGGGTAATTTCTCTTTTTCTGTCATAGTTAACGGTGCTTGACTCCCACATGACCAACCGCAGTTTGATTTCTAGATCTGGCAGCTTGCTTTTTGCTTTTTCATTTTCCCTCTCTCTCTCACTCTGTCCCTCTTTGGTCAAGTTAAAATAAATAAGTAAATAAATAAATCATCTTAAAAAAGAATACACTATCAAAACCTATCCAGAGATAAAATAGTAATGTATAAATAACTTAATACTTCTAGGGCTGGCAAGTGGCATGGTGGTTAAGATTGCTGGACTCCCACATGGCCGACCACAGTTCAAGTCCCAGACCTGGTCGCTTGCTTTCTCTCTTTCTCCCTCTCTCTGTCCCTCTCTGGTCAAATTAAAATAAATAAATAAAAGAAGTTAAATAAAATATTTCTTTAAAAAATAATAATAATAATAATATACTTCTATCTAGAAAAAAGCTCTATCAAAGTGTTATTTAAAAGTTCAAACTACTGGTGGAACCAGCAGATGGTGTAATGGTTACATTGCAGGACTCCCATGTAGTCAACCGCAGTTCAAGTCCCAAACCCAGCGGGTTAAAACTCACACTGGGCACATGTGCATCCATGCCCAAAATCCCGAGAAGAGAATGAAGGAGAAGGGATTTCAGCATGGCCAAACCCCGCAGGATAATTTCTCACTTTCTGTCTCTCCAGTAAGCCTACATGGCCTATAGCAAAAATCTCTCTAAAACTATAGGGGCCAGTAGATGGTGACGCAGTTATGTCACTAGACTCTCACATGGCCAATTATGGTTCAAATACCAGACCTGGGGGCTTGAAAAATCACACTGGTGTAGGAATGTGCATGCCCAAGATCCTAGGAGAATGGAGAAGGGACTGTAATGTGGCCTGACTGAAGGGGTGATTTCTCAATTTCTATCTCAATGTCTGTCTCCCCCTCCACCCCACCCCCACAAGTACACATGCCCTAAGGCAAGAGCCTCTTAAAAAAAATTTCAAGGGACCAGCAGTTGGTGTAATGGCTATGTCGTTGGACTCCCATGTAGTTGACTGCGGTTCAAGTCCCAGATCCAGTAGCTTAAATTCACGCTAGGCACGTGTGCGTGCATGCCCAAGATCCTGCGAGGAGAATAGAGGAGAAGGGATTACGGCTGGCCATCCCCCTGGGGGGTGATTTCTCGCTTTGAGTCTGTGTCTCTCTGTCTTTCTGGTGAGCGCATGCGCCCAATAGCAAAAAGCTCTCCCCAAAAGAAAAAAAAAATTCAAACTATGAATTTATCATATTCATTGTTTCAGCAAACCTAACTTGCCCTGATTAAAGAACTATTACTCATTAGTATTCCTTTATTCTTGATTAGCACATTAAATATTGCTTTGTCAAAGCTCAAAATTCCAAAAACTGTCAATAAAAAATTCTCGATTTACTTCCTGATACCAATCATAAAGCAGGATTCACTCAGTCATTATCAATGATTTATACATGGTAAATGTTCAATAAATGATTAATAATCACATACAAAATCATCACACGTAATAAAGTACTATATAATGATTTTAAAAGCTTTAAAACATTCCATTTCAATTAATAATGACACACCTTTCATTTTACATTGCCAAGCAATGAAAAACTCTAAAATTCTGTGCATATACATAAGAAACAGACATTTTTAGAATTAAGTCTTCACAATTTAGTAATCTTACTTTCTTCTAAAGAGAAAAATGATAAAAAAGCTAAAAGCAGTCTTTGATACCCATAATTTGTCTTCTGTTCACTGCTACTTCTAATGTCTGTAACCATAAAAAGACATATTCCCAATTATATCCTGTTAATTTTCCCCCAAGACTTATTTACATAGTAAGTTCTGTCAAATGTAGGATTTTTGTATAGCTTTTCTTAGTTGTCTCTATCTATGAAATAAGACAATAATATAAGGACCCTTGGAGATGAGTACTGTTTGATTTTGGCATTCCTTACTTTACTTCTTGATCTCCTCTTCCCACCAACCAATTTCATGAATCGATTGTACTGCTCCTCCTGATTTGAGAGATCTCGAATTTTTCTAATTTCTTCTTCTCTTTTCCTTCTCTCTTCTTCTTCAGCTTGTTTCCGCTGATCTTCTTCTTTCTGTCTTTCCTGTTCCTTCTGTTGTTGTAGTTTCTTCCAGGCCTTTGTTTGCTGCTGCCGCAAAGCTTGTTTAGCTTTAATTAAAAAAAAAAAAAAATATATTGATTTCTCGCTTTCTGTCTCTATGTCTCTCTCTGTCTGTCTGGCGAGCACACGCGCCCTATAGCGAAAATCTCCCAGAAAAAAAAAAAAAAATTTATAGGGGATAAAATAAAACAAAAGTTTTACAAATTACTCTCATGACCACTGAGAAATACAGAGCTGCTCTGCTAATTTCCATTACTGTCAGATTATACTCCGTTTTAGAGCCCTATTATTGCCCAAATTCAACTTTATAAATTAAAATGTAGAAACTATACTATTATATAAGTTCAATTTAAGAATTTAACAAAAATAATCACCTGTAGTGCTAACTTTTTTGGCTGAATGTGTTTTTGTACTGGTTTTAACCTTTTGCTGTACAGTTTTCGTCTTAGTCAATTTTTCTTTGCTTTCCTTCATCACCTGCTGTTCTTTTTGTTGCCATTTTTTACTGGCTGATTGAAGAGCTAAAAGACGAAGCTGTAATTCAGATAGCTCCTCTTCATCTTCACCAAGTTTCTTTAAAACAAAAAAGAAACAGTTAAAATGTTAAAATTCTATTATGTAAACATTTCACCAAGTTAAATCCTTTATAAACTTAGTTTTAAGGCAAATATAGATAAAATAAGGCAACTAATTTACTTACCACAGCCCAAGATCCTAATTTAATTCCTATAATACAAATAGAAGATCAAACTACAGAGTGTGTATATATAAATATGTAGGATTAGAAGGGGATGGTATAAATTGTAGAACATGATGATGCAAAACAAGAAGAGTTAAGAGATTAGCATTTAGTTAGACATTACTATTTAACAACGCTTCCACAAGTTGAAAATATAAAAATCTAATGGCAGGAAATGCAAGTAATAATGAAACCAGGTGAGGTTAAAAGCTGAAGAATGGGGGCCAGCAGGTGGTGTGGTGGTTAAGGGCACTGGACTCCCACATGGCCGACCATGGTTCGAGTTCCAGACCTGACAGTCTGCTTTCTCAGTTTCCTTCTCTCTCTCTCTCTCTCTCTCTCTCCCCCTCTCTGGTCAAATAAAAATAAAAATAAATAAATGAAATTAATTTTTAAAAATTCTTAAAAACAACCCTGAAGAATAAAGCAGTTTCATAATCATGAGATTACTTACATTACAAGTAATACAGAGAACAGATACAATGAACATCTAGATTCAAATCTGCAAAGGTTTTCTTTATATATTTCTTCAAAGAATTAATTTTATTCATTATTATTATTTTTAAATCTGTTATACGGTACATATGCTCACAAGATAAAGCAAGAGAGAGAGAAAGCAAGCAAGCTGCCCCAAGTCCAGGATTTGAAACACTGTTAGCTATCCAGGAGTCCAGCACCTGAACCACCATGATGCCTGCTGGCCTCTTTTTATATACTTTTTATTTTTTATTTTTGGAGAGGTTTTTTGCTACAGGGCACGTGCGCTCGCCAGACAGACAGAGACATAGAGACAGAAAGCAAGAAATCACCCCCCAGGGGGGACGGTCACGCCGCAATCCCTTCTCCTCCATTCTCCTCTCAGGATCTTGGGCACGCACGCACACGCGCCCGGCGTGAGTTTTATGCCACCGGGTCCGGGACGTGAACCACGGTCGGCTACGTGGGAGTCCAGTGACATAGCCATTACGCTAACTGCTGGTTCCCAACATACTTTTTAATTCTCAAAATTACCATTGGAAAGGGGTCAACAGATGATGGGTGGTTAAGGCATTGGCCACACACATGGCCTACTACAGTTTGAGTCTGGGACCCAATGGTTTGAACTCACGCCAGGAGTATGTGCATACATGTCCAAAATTCTGAAAGGAAAATGGAGATGCGATTGTAGTGTGGCCATCCCCACGGGGGTAGGGGGCATTTCTTGCTTTCCTTCTGTTTCTCTCTAGCAAGTGTACATGCCCTATGGCAAACATCTAAAAATTAAATTTAAAAAATAGAAAGAAATTACCATTGAAAGAAAAAAAATTTGTAGAGATTTGCTTATATTTTAACATTATATGTTCTAAAGCTCTACCTATTAACCTTTTTATCTAAAATAAGCTACCATGGCCCACTGGTAAAGACAGTGTTGCTCTATAGGCTGAGGCTGTATGGGAGGCATGGGTTCAATTGCCAGCGCTCTCCTCCCCACCAAAAAAATAAATAAATAAATAGCCAGGAACAGTGGTACACATCTGTACTGCCAGCTACTCAAGGGGCTGAGGCAGAAGGACAGTGAGCTCAAGGCTGGCCTATGCAACGCAGTGAGACCATGTCTGAAAAAGCTAGGTATGGTGGCATAAACCTGCAGTCCCTATTACTTGGGAGGCTGGGTCAGGAAATCTTGACAGAGCAAGACCTTGTCCTTAAAAAAAAAAAAAGTTAAGGGGGCCAGCAGGTGGTGAGGCTGTTGAGGTGCTAGACTCCGACACGGCTGACCATAGTTTGAGTACTGGGCCTGGAGGCTGGCTTTCTTACTTTCTCTCTCTCTCTCTCTTTCTCTCTGGTGAGTGCTAGTGCCTATAGCAAATTTTAAAATAATAATAATTAAATTAAATAATTCTTAAAAATTAAAAAAAAATAGTTAACCATAACAAAAAACATGTCTGAGAACCTTTTTCCAGTTAAAATAACTTAATTTTTTCAGTTTTTGGAGATAATATAAAAAATAAATCTATTCTCCATATTTTAGCTAAAATATAACTGAAAATGTCAGGTAACCTAAGCAGAGGTTCTTAACTGAAGCATGGATTTTGATAGGGAAGAAGAGGGGCACAGAGGTCCTTCGTCATGTATATGGTAGGGAAGAGAGAAGTCAGAACTTTTTTGTAGTAAGTGGTCTTATTAGAGATCTTTCTTACAGGTGAATTATATTTTTTCTAAAACCCCATTAAATCATTTCTATTCTTAAGCACAAAGAAAATAGTGAATTTTATCTAATGTTTTCATCTTAATATGAACTGTCATATACTTCAGTATTTCATTTCAACAAGACCAGGACACAGTTACCCTTTTCACTTAAGGAAGTAAATATTTTTAAAATAATTAGTATTCTTTTTTTTTTTTTTTTTTTGAGAGATTTCCGCTATAGGGCGCGTGCGCTTGCCAGACAGACAGAGAGAGACAGAGACAGAAAGCGAGAAATCACCCCCCAGGGGGGATGGCCACGCCGCAATCCCTTCTCCTCTATTCTCCTCTCGCCATCTTAGGCACGCATGCATATGCGCCTGGCATGAGTTTTAAGTCACCGGCTCCAGGACGCGAACCACAGTCGACTACACGGGAGTCCAGCGACATAGCCATTGGCTAACTGCTGGTTCCCAGATTATTAGTATTCTTTTTTAACTCTGAGTTACTTAAATATATCAAATTCCATTGCTCCACATTGAAATTAGATCTAGAGCTGTATTGTCCAATAGAGTAGCAAGAGCTACCTATGATTATTTAAATTAATTTCAATGAACTAAAATTGAACTAAAAACTTTGCACCTAAGCAACGTTCATCACGTTTCAAGTACGTAACAGTCACATGTGACTAATAGGGACCATTCTGCAGCATGCAACTGGAGAACATTTCCATTACTGTAGGAAATTCTACTGACAGTACTGATCTTGACTGTTTAAAATAAAGTTATCATCACTGTTTCACTGAGATTTAAAAATCTTCTATTACTTTTTACAACTACTGCTTTTGGAATTAATGAAAGAAGCCACTGATTCTGTCACACAACTATTTGCTACTTGAACCAACTCAGTGAATAGCAATAACACTGATCCCACGGGTCAGAGAGCATTTAACTCCTTGCACTGACACTATTTCTTTAACTTTAAGTAAGTCACTTTAACCTACTCAAATAAATCTTACCTTATTCCCTAAAATATAATATAAATATCAACTTAATTCATACAGGTATTGTGAGGATATTTTAAAAAGTCTGTTTGTGGGAAACCAGCAGTTAGCGTAATGGCTATGTCGCTGGACTCACACGTAGTCGACCGCGGTTCGCGTCCCGGACCCGGTGGCTTAAAACTCACGCCGGACGCTGTGCATGCGTGCCCAAGAGCCCAAGAGGAGAATGGAGGAGAAGGGATTGCGGCATGACCATCCCCTCTGGGGGGTGATTTCTTGCTTTCTGTCTCTATGTCTCTCTCTGTCTATCTGGCGAGTGCACGCGCCCTATAGCAAAACCTCTCCAAAAAAAAAAAAAAAATGTCTATGTGTGGGCCAGCAGGTGGTGTGGTAGTTAAGGTGCTGGACTCCCACCTGGCCAACCATGGTGGCTTGCTTTCTCATACCTTCACACACACCCCCACCATGAGCACACATGTCCTTTTTAAAATAATAATAATGATAAATAAAAAAAATTTTTTTTCTTTTTTTTTGGAGATGTTTTTGCTATAGGGCGCGTGCCAGAAAGACAGAGAGAAACAGAGAGACAGAAAGCGAGAAATCACCCCCCAAGGGGGATGGCCATGCCGCAATCCCTTCTTGTCCATTCTCCTCTCGGGATCTTGGGCATGCACACACACGCACCCGGCGTGAGTTGAAGCCACTGGGTCCAGGACTTGAACCACAAATAAATACATGGGAGTCCAGCAACAAAGCCATTACACTAATTGCTGGTCCCAATAAAAAATGTACTTAAAAAAAATGTGTTTGTGTCCCCATTATCATTCCTAAATTTAGAAATATCTTTTTCCAAAAGTTCTTAGACTCTTTTAATCATTTCAATTTAGTCATAAAAATAAACAAATTAAAATTTCAATACAGGAACCAGCAGTTGGTGTAATGGCTGTGTCACTGGACTCCCATATAGCCAACCGCGGTTCAAGTCCTCGACTCGGTGACTTAAACTCCCGCTGGGCACATGTGCATGTGTGCCAAAGATCCAAAGAGGAGAATGGAGGAGAGGAGACTGCAGTGTGGCCATCCCCCCTGGAGGGGTGATTTCTCACTTTCTGTCTTTCCGGTGAATGCACAAGCCCTATAGAAAAACCTCTGGAAAAAAATTAAAATCAATATATAGTTTTCCTATAGTATGTATTTTCTAAGAATTTTCTGAAAACTCCTCAAGGCCATGATGAAAGAATACGTAGAAAGTAAGACAGAATTTTTCTTTAAAAAGAACAAACTAAAGTATTGCAAGAATCAGTCTTAAAGATAGTCAGTCCCACAAAGCAATAGCTTACCTGTTCAGATAGAATATCTGAGGTACTAATTCTTCTTGCTAAATTTTGTTCTTTATCTTCTAATCCTTTAAAATAAAACAGCAATTTTAAACAGTCTGAAAGATAACCATGATCTAAAATAAAATTCTATATATTATTAAGAATATCTTAAAGGGTATCATTTAAAAGATGTAATTTTCTCAATCTTTTAACCAAAAGAATGCTACTAAAGAGAATGAAAATTTGGCCAAACCTCTCACAACACTTTCTTTTAAAAATTATGCTAGAGAGCACCTAGACTTCCGAGAGAGAGAGAGAGAGAGGAAGAGTGAGGGAGAAAGAGCGAGAGAGAAAGAAAGAGAGAGATAGTGAGAAAGCACCCCTCCTCCACGAGGGGGTGGTCATGTCACAATTCCTTCTCCTATGTCTCCCTCCTTCCAGGATTCTGGGCATGCACACACATATGCATGCCATTTCTCAAGCTGCTGGATCTGGGACACAAAACCACACAGTAAGGCCACGTGGGATCCAGCTGCCTTAACTAGCGAGCCACAGGCTGGCCCATATCAGCCTCACTCCTAAGTTATGAGACAAAAAATAACTCAAAACAGATAAATTAAAACTACACTTTGAGAGAGGATAAGTGTAGATACCAGAGACTGTAAGGGAAGGGAGCAGATAGCAAGAGGGGAAAAGAGAAGAAACATTTAACAGACAAAAGAACATAAAGTTTTCTGCTGAAAATTATATATATGGTAATATCCTTGAATGACTGTCATGTACTACATGCATATTTCAAAAAAACATATTGTACGTTAAGATGTACAATGATGGAGACCAGTAGATGACGTAATGGCTATGTTGCTGGACTCCCATGTAACTGGCCACAGTTTGAGTCCTGGACCTGGTGGCTTAAACTCACACCAGGTGTGTGTGTGTGCATGCACAAGATCCCGAGAATGGAATGGAGAAGGGACTGCAGCCTGGCCATACCCTCTGGGGGGTGATTTCTCACTTTCTGTCTATCTCTCTCTGTCTTTTTGGGAAGTACACACGCCCTATAGCAAAACCTCTCCACCCCGCCCCCAAATTGTACAATGATGGACTACAGATAAAAAAGAAAAATGCCCTAATAAAAAACATAATAAAATTTTTAAAAAGTAAATAAAACTTTTTAAAACATCAACATAGAGGGGTCAGCAGGTGGCATGATGGTTAAGGCACTGGACTCCCACATGGATTCCCACATGGCTGACAAGGTTTGACTCCCAGACCTGGCAGTTTGCTTTCTCACTTTCCCCTTTTCTAGCTCTCTCTCTCTGGGAAAATTAAATAATAATAATAAATAATAATTCTTTAACAAAAATTGATAGAGATAGTAAGATCATGATCAAGAAATGAAAAGATAGAGCTGAATGAGAATACATCAAACAGAAGGCAAGCCTGTATGCTATCAATAAGAGATAAGGGTTAGTAAAATAATTATGAGATATAGGAGAATTATCGAGGGAAATGGGAAAAAAAGGTGACTAACAAGTTAAAGGGTTGATGGCAGAGTCTTGCTGAGGAATGGGGGTTGAACAGAGGTTGCATATTACTAAACACTTGATCGCATAGAAGTGCTAGCTTCTTTCATTTTCCTTCGATCCCTCTTTCATACTGGTGCCAGTGATTTTTTCTAAAACACACATTTGATCACTTAATTTCCCTGTTTTTTGTTTTTTAAGAGATTTTTGCTATAGGGAGTGTGCATCATGGGAGAGACAGAGAGAAATCACCCCCCACAGGGGGGATGGCCACATTGCAATCCCTTCTCCTCCATTCTCCTCTTGGTATTTTGGGCACATATGCACCTGTACTGGGCATCAGTTTTAAGATGCCAGGTCCAAGACTAGAACTGCAATCGAGTACATGAGAGTCCAGCGATGTAACCATTATTCCATCTATTGGTCTCTTTATTTTCCTGTTTAAAAACGTCTGACAGTCAAAGATTAAAAAAAAAAATTCAGGGTGGGCAGGTGGCATAGTGGTTACGGGTGTTAGACTCCCACATGGCCGACCGCAGTTCAAGTCCCAGACCTGGCAACTTGCTTTCTCACTTTCTCTTTCTCTCTCTCTTACTCTATGTCCCTCTAGTCAAATTAAAAATAAATAAAGTTAAATAAAATAATTCTTTAAAAAAAATTCAAATTCTTTAGCAAGATACTCGAAGCCCTTCTCAGTCCTTAAATTCAACCACTGTGAAAAACATATCATATGTCTCACATTACGTCCATACTTACTCAATCTCCATATCCTTAAAAAGCCCTTTGTGCTTCTGTCTGCTCATTTGTTCCTATTCCCCATCAAAAACAGTCATCCCTCAGGTTTACAAACAACTTTACACCATATAAGTGGCCCTGAATACCTGAATATGACATGATGCTAAAGCACTGGTCACTCAGGTGCCAGCAAGGACAAAAGCAAATGCTCTCTGGGAAGTCTACATTTGCCCCAGGTCTCAAAAATTTCCCACCAAAAATATGTAAAGGAAAAGGATGACCACACACTTAAAAAAAAAAAGAAAAGAAAAATTCACTAAGCATTAGTACCAAAAATGAGAATCCACAGAAACAAACACCAGAAATAAGACCCACAAAGATCTTGGACATGGAAATTAACAGGCACGGAAGAGATACAAAACGAACTTATAGTTCCTTTGTTTAAAGAAATAAAAATAAATTTGAAAACATAGCAGAAGGAAGAATGATCAAAGTGATTTGAAAACAAAATAAAAAGGTGAAATAAAATCTGTAATTAAAATTTAAAACTCAATCGGTTATTTATAGTATCCTCAACTAGACTGGTGTGAAATATATTCATTTTGGGTAAATTCACTTTGAAACCTAAGTTATGTATAGTGACTGAATGTACAAAATTAAAAAAAAAAAAAAGAGCAACTGGAGGGGGAAAAAAAACTCAACAGGTGAGGGTATGGTGTTTACAGTGCTGGACTCCCACATGGCCAACTGTGGTTCAAGTCCTAGACCTGGAAGCTTGCTTTCTCACTTTCCCCTTTTCTCTCTGGTCAAATTAAAAAATAACAAAACTAAATAAAATATTAAAAAAAAAAAAAACTCAACAGGTGAGCTTAAAGCCTAGATCAGGTGCATCAGAAAATAAAAAATATATCAGAGGAAATTTTCCAAAATACAGAAGAGATACAAAAATAAACTTAATGAAATTAAGAGATATAGAAGATAAAGTGAGATGACAACATATTTGGTCATCGGGAAAGTTATGACGCATGCATTTTTGTACAGAAAAATATGTAATGACTTTCCGACAACCTAAAACAACTGGACTATTTCAGAAAAGAGAGAAGATGGGGCAATATTTGAAGAGATGATAATTTAGGAAACAACAGATGGCATAATGGTTACATCACTGGACTCCCACATAGTCAACTTCAGTTGGGAGTCTGGATCCAACAGCTTGAAACACATACCATGCATGTGTGCGTGCCCAAAATCCAGAGAGAAGAGTAGAAAAGGGACTGTGGCAGGGCCATCCCCCACCCCCCCCACACTGGGGTGATTTCTCACTTTCTCTGTCACTCTGTGTCTCTCCAGCTAGCGCATGCACCCTATAGCAAAAATCTCTCTCAAAAAAACAAACAGAAAAACCCGATAAATTTATCAAAAGAAGGGCCCAATACAAATTCAAGAAGCAAAGCAAATCCCAAACTAGGTAAATAAAAGAAATCTAAAATCACCCAATTATAGTTTAACTACAGAATATCAAAGACAAAAACATGATCTTTAAAGCAACCAGAAAAAGATAACCTTCAGATTAAGAAACCATTAAGACTGATAAATGACTTTTTTTTTGGGGGGAGTTTTTTGCTATAGAGCGCGTGCACTCGCCAGACAGACAGAGACATAGGGACAGAAAGCAAGAAATCACCCCCCAGAGGGGATGGCCACACCGCAATCCCTTCTCCATTCTCCTCTCAGGATCTTGGGCACGCATGTACACGTGCCCAGCGTGAGTTTAAGCCACTGGGTCCGGGACTCGAACCGCGGTTGACTACATGGTAGTCCAGCGACATAGCCATTACACTAACTGCTGGTCCCTAAACAAAAAATTTCTAAACCCAGAGAAGTTATCAATTTCCCAGCCTCAAAAATTTAAAGTAAAAACTGAAAATCATAAACCTACCATCACAGAGGCAGATTTTAACCAATCTCTCAATAACTGATAGATTAAGCAATCAAAAAATAAATGGGAGTGGAGGAGAGGTGGTGGCATAACAGTATAAAATTGGGCCCATGTGAGAAAGGTCTTGGGTTCACGTCCCAGGACCTCCCTGAGCATGCTCAGTGCATGTGAATACCAATGATTCAGGCTAGCTGGAACTGGGATGATTACAGTGTGGAGAACCTGTTAAGAGTGCCTGTCTCTATCTTTTTTTTTGTCTCTCATGAAGAAATAAATTGTTAAAGAATTATTTGAGGCCAGCAGGTGGCACGATGGTTAAGGCCACTGGATTCCCATATGGCTGACTGTGATTCGAGTCCCAGACTCGGCAGCTTCCTTTCTCATTCTCCTTCTCTCTCTCTCTCCAGTCAACCTCAAAATAAATAAATAAATAAATAAAAATTAAAATTAAATTAAAATGATAATTACTAAAATTAATTTTAAAAATCTGCAGAAAACTTTATAAAGAATTATTTTATTTAACTTTCTTTCTTTATTTATTTATTTATATCTGACCAGGGAGAAAGAGAGTGAGAGACAGAGAGAGTTGGAGAGACGGAGAGAGAGAGAAAAAAGTAAAAAAGTGAGCCGCCAGGTCTGGAACTCAAATCCCGGTCAGCCATGTAGGAATCCAGTGCCTCTGATCACCATGCCACCTGCAGGCCCAGAAATAAAATAAATTTTAAATAAAGATATAAACGTAAAAAGTTGTTTAAATGACCCAGCCATAGCGGCACAGACAGGAGGGCACTGCTAGGCAATACTGAAGCTACACGGTAGGCCAAGTTTGGATCCCAGTTGACATGAGCACACCTAGCATGCTCATAAGCATCCGTGATCCTAGCCAGCTAAGAGGCTGGGCACAGAACTGTATGATGAAACACTGTCAAGGATCCCTCCCTCTTATCTGTTGGTCTGTCTGTCTCTCTCACACACACACAAATACAAAATTTAAAAAAAAAAAGCTTGTTCAAATAATCTATATATTCCTTTTAAATATATATACACAGAACAGTTAGAAAAATGGATTATATATTTAGATGATAAAGAAGTCTCCAGGGGCCCGCAGCTGGCATGGTGGTTAAGGCACTGGGCTCCCACATGGACAACTACAATTGGTGTCCCGGACCTGGCAGCTTGCTTTCTCACTTTCTCCCCAGCCCCTCACCACCGTCTCTCTGGTGAGTTCAAATGCCCTATAGCAAATTTTAAAAGTAACAATGAAAAAAACATTGGGGGGGGGGACAGATTTTTGCTATAGGGCACATGTGCTCCCCAGAGACAGAAAACGAGAAATTACCCCCCATCCAGGGAACGGCCACACCACAATAATCCTTTCTCTTCCATTCTCCTCTCAGGATTTTGGGCACACACTCCTGGCATGAGTTTTAAGCCACCAGGTCCAGGACTCAAGCTGCCGTTGATTACATGAGAGTCCAGGGATGTAACTATTATGCCATCAGCTGGTCCTCAAAACAGGGAGAAATCAAAATACAACACAGCGGACTGCCCACCAGCACAGAGGTTTAGCGCTGTGCACAGGGAGCAGGATCCGACCTGACCAACCATGGTACAACCCATGGCCCCATTAGCATGAAAAATACACTGGGCTTTGTGTGTGTGCATGTCCTAAATCCTAATAGGATGGAGAAACAGAGGTAAAGGGACTATGCAGACCCTACTGGGGGGTTTTCTCTCTCTTCCTGGCAATTTCACGTGCCTTCTGGCAATTGAAAAAATGAAACACTGCAATATACTATATGATTTCATTTATGCAACATTCTGGAAAAGGCAAAACTACAGGGACAAAGTGGTTACCAAGTTGGGTAAAGGTTGAGGGTGGGGGCTGACTACAGCAGGCATGGATAATTGTTAAAGGTTGATAGGACTATTCTGTATCTTTACTGTGGTGGCAGATGCTGGTTACCCAATTGTATGCATTTATCAAAACTAGAACCTACCCAACAAGGGCAAATTTTACTATGTAACATGTTATATCTTAATCATAAAGAAGGGAAATAATAAACCAAATCTATGATTTTAAAATGAAATATCATAAACTGTGTTTAACTCAGGCATATAAGAGTTAACATTATAAGATCAATTAATATAATTCATTACAATAATAAATTAAAGGAGGAGAAACTAGATGCTCTTATCAATAATAAAAAAAGATGTGATAAACTTCAACATTTATATATCATATAATAAACACAGCACAAATTTATGCTAAAAACCTCAAACAAGGAACGGAGAGAAAAAACTTCCTTTACCCAATAAAGAGTACTACAAAAAACTTAACAAACCTCATTATTTAATAATAAACATCAAAAGCATTTCCAAAGGTGCCCTCTCTTATCATTTATATTGTAGTGTTAAGTCCTGACCAGCATCATGTCAGGTCAAAATAGAAACTACAAAAAATGTTCAGAAAAAAACAAAACTTGTCATTATTCATACAAAAGAGTTCCATGATAATTCTAATTACTTCAATGAAGTGCACATCAAAAGAACTAATTACTCCTTTACAGAAGGAAGAGTCATATTACCAATTGAAATACTTAACTCCATTACCTTGACTAGATTCAGTAGTGTCCGATTTCAGGGAAAGTTGTTTTGCTCCATCTTTAACCTTTTTCAACCGGTTCTTATCACCTGGTAAAGTCAGTTTTTGCCTGAGTGGTTTTAATTCAAATGCCTGAAAATGTTTGACCTGTATTTTCTCCTCAGGAGCTACTTCTTTACTTGAGTCCTTTGTAATACTGATATTATCAGTGCTTGTTTGGTCCTCAAAGTTCAACGTTTTAGAATCGTCCTGTGCATTCTCTTCTTTACTACTCAAAGCTAGTTTCTCATCTTTATTAATGCATTCAAGTTCCAACTGGATTTGCTTATACTTTAAAAGTAAATCTTCAAAAGTTTCTTCCCCACAGTTTTCACTTTTTGATGAATAATTTTGTTTTCTTGATGGAGATCTTCCAAAACTTTTGGCTGAGTAGTATATTAAGGAAACCAGTTTCCAAAAAGTTTTCCATATTTAAATTTAACAAAAAAGCGTAAGTTACGGGTGAATTCTCTCCCTTTTTAATTCTTCAAGAAAAATTGATATTTTTAAATGATTAAATTCCATTTAACATGTGTCGCTAATGCCTATTATGTGCCCATATTTCAATTTAACAAATATCTATATAAATATTCCACTTATAAAATCACTAGTGTCAGTAATTACCAATAGTAGCCACAGGTGGTTCACCTTGTTAGGTTATAGCATCCTTCCTTCTGTAGGTGCCAGGAAAGCCCATAGTAAGCTGGATGTTAAAGATTCTTTTCTGAAGGAGAGGGGAGAAACTGAATGGTTTGTCACATATGTGGATAATTTATACTTCAGATAATCAGGAGGAAATGTTTCTTCTCTTTAATTAGTTTCTTCTCATATCTCAAATTTTTAAAAATAAGAGATAAAAAATGAACACTGACAATTAGTAGCTAGACTAATTTATGAATTCAGACATTTTATTTAAAATCTAATAGAGCTCAAGTATACTAACATTCAACATATGTACACTAGTTATGACAGATATTTTTAAAATTAAATAGTACTTAGAATGTCTTCTAAACTACTTTTCTCCTAAAGGCAGAGATATCTAAATCAGTTATTTTTATTTTCTTCTCTAACATAAAGATACACAGAACAAAACTTCTCTGCAAATGGCTACAAAGTTCCAAACTACAACTTTTAGTCATAATAACTCATATATATGAAAACTCTTACACTTCATTTTTCAAGCCTGGAAATTTTAAATAGAGAAAAAAAAGTACCTTGTATGGTTTTAACAATGTATCATTTTAGGTAATTTTTAATTGACAAAATGTAACATTACAGTTTCCTAAATATGATTCTTCTGTTTAACAAATCATAGGACAAGCAGCTGACAAAGATTTTTAAACTCCCTTTATGACCACTTCAAGAATACAGAATCACCACCAGATATCTGAGAAACCAAACAAGCATTAAAACTGAAAATCTGAACAGTTCTGATGCAAAACTGTTCTAAGAAATTTCTGGTTCTCCGATCTCTTCAGAGCCAAATTTCTTGAAAGAATATTAATTTCTCAATACTGTTCTTACTTATCAACGAAATGGAATCTGCTTTCTGTCCTATAATCCACAGAAACTGCTCTGGCTGATTTTATCCACAAATGTTTTCAAACCTTACTTTATCTGACCTCTCCACAGCACTGGATGCTGAAAATCCATTTCTCAGTTAGCTTACTGTAACTCCCATTCTCCTCCCCATTTCTGTATCTCTTTTTTTCTTTTTTTTAAGTCTTCATGATTCCTTTCTCCATAACTCCAGAAATAATGCTCTCTAGTAAGCTTTACTTAGCCCTGTCACTTCTGAGCATTCTAAAGCATTCTCAGTTTTGCCTATGACAGGTGATAAGTTTGGTCTGGTGACATCTGGAGTTCTGTGTCTCCCACAGACCATTCCTCAGATTAATCCTTCTGGAATATAAATCTGATCACACCACTCTCCTTGTTTAAATTTAGAGTTCGAGGGAACCAGCAGTTAGCGTAATGGCTATGTCGCTGGACTCCCACGTAGTCGACCGCGGTTCGTGTCCTGGACCCGGTGGCTTAAAACTCACGCCGGGCGCGTGTGCATGCGTGCCCAAGATCCCGAGAGGAGAATGGAGGAGAGGGGATTGCGGCGTGACCATCCCCCCTGGGGGGTGATTTCTCGCTTTCTGTCTCTATGTCTCTCTCTGTCTGGCGAGCGCATGCGCCCTACAGTGAAAATCTCTCCAAAAAAAAAAAAAAAATTTAGAGTTCGATATCCTTAGAATTAAGATAACACCCTCTTGATCTGACCTCTGTTTATTTTTTCAATCTTTCTTTTTCCCTGCTTATCACAATTTTTGCATAGCTTTAGTGTCTAGGTTTCTGTTCTTCAAGCATCACCTCCTTTATAAAGTCAGTTATTTGCTCTTCCCTCCCTCCTCTGTAAATAAAGTCTGTAATTATCTGCATTTACATCTAACTTTTCAAGGGAGCCATCTAAATATACAACTGCAGTGATTTTACAAAAGAAATGAGTAGACGGGTTGGCAGGTGGCATGGTGGTTAAAGGCGCTGGACTCCCACCGTGGTTCAAGTCCCGGACCTGGTGGCTTCCTTTCTCCCTCTCTCTCTGTTTCTCTCTGATCAAACTGGAAAACAGTAACAATAATAAATAAAGTTAAATAAAAAAAATTTTTTTAAAAAATGAGTAGACTAAAGACCTGTGAAACATGTACAAAGAAAAAAAGACTCATTACACTAAGAGAAAAAAACTAAATAAACAAAAAATAAGGAAAAGCAAGTGAGTTAACTGTAGCTGACTAATCTGTCAAGGCCGAATGAAATCACTTAACCCTGTCTATATATGGCAGCTAATGATCAAACAAGATCTGAATTTAAGCTTGTCAAAAGGCAATTTCTAATTAATCCTGTTTTTTGGGTGTTTTTTGTTTGTTTGTTTTTTAAAGAACTGCTATCAACCTTGTCAGCTACAGCTGAAAATTGAATGCCTTTTTACTGCTGAGACACACTGGCCTAATTATGTTAGCTCTCACCAGATTTTAAAGTTTAAAATAATAGTCACCCAAGGAACACTCATGCTAGGACAGACCAACAAAATGTCTCTCATTAAGAAGAATTAAAGGGGCTGGCAGGTGGTGTGGTGATTAAGGGCACTGAACTCCCTCATGGCCAACCACGGTTAGAGTTCCATACCTGGTGGTTTGTTTTCTCATTTTCCCTCTCTCTCTTTCTCTCCCACTCTCTCTCTTTGGTCAAATTAAAATAAGTAAAGAAAGAAAGGAAGGAAAAACTAAAAATGAACAAGAATAAAAATAAGAACTGCAATAGCACCTGGTTTATTCTATTTCTTTAAATTGAAACTAGCATATCTTAATTATTAAAGTGAAAGAAGTTATGCCAAACAAAAACAAAAATCCCTACTCAGGCTACTTCGCTCCTAGATTATTGAAATGAGTCAAAGATTAATCTTTGTCCTTCCTACAATATTTGTAAAATAAAAAAGACACTGTTAATCTGCTGTGAAAATATGACAGATTATAATCTTGACATTAAAGGAATGTGAATAGATGTTTTATATTACAAATTATGTTTGCTCATATTATACAAGTGGCTGGAAACTATGGTTACCTTCTCAAATTCTTATAAAGAATATAACCTCTAGGTTGATATTTCATGAGGAAAACAATAAGTAGATGATCAAAACAAGCATCTTTTTCTTAAGTACAGCATCTGTGAAAAGAAAAACAGCAAGATAGCTCACTTTCTGACAAGTTACTACAGATATCAAAGTCACACAGGCAGACTGAATATTTTCCTGTACTTTTTCATACCATATGCCTGTTTATAAGTTTTTTTAAAAAGCATAAAAATAAAGGAATAGAGCAGAGCCCCAAACTGGTATTGAATAAACATACACTCAGAAAGACAAAGGCAGGAGGTAAAAAAGTCCAATCACCTCTTTTTTCTCTAATATAGAATATGAAAAACTTTTGAGCTGCCATAGTACTTTTGACATACCATTAACTTGAACTTTTTATAAACTGAATTTATTGTTTATCTCCCCAACACAAGTTACAGATTTCATTTCTGTATACCTAAAAAGCACAAGTAAGCCTGCATAAACTTAAATAGTTCTTCTGTTTTCGGATTTAAAATAGATAATAAACCCATGGATAATATCTTGGGCAAGATCAATTTTCTTGAAATAAAACTGTGGGGTTTTTTAAAGAATTATTTTATTTAACTTTATTTAAATTTGACCAGAGAGGGACTGAGCAAGAGAGCAAGAGCGGAAAAGTCAGAAAGCGAGTCACCAGGTCCAGGACTCGAAACATAGCCAGCCATGTGGAAGTCCAGCGCCCTTAAACACCACGCCACCTGCTGGCCCCAGAAAATGCAGTCTTTTAAAAGGCTAAATACCCAGGCACCAGCAGATGGTATAATGGTTGCATCGCTGGACTCATGGCCTACCAGAGTTTGAGTCCCAGACCCTGCAGCTTGAAACTCATGCCTGGCCCATGTGCATGCCCAAGATCTGGAGAGGAGAATGGAGGTGAGAGACTACAGCATGGCCATACCCTGGAGGGGTGATTTCTCGTTTCCTGTTTTTCTCTGTCTCTCTGGTGAGTACACATGCCCTATAGCCAAAAAAAAAAAAAAAAAGAAACTCTACAAAATAAACAAATAAAAATAAAAAGCTAAATGCCTGTATGATGTTTTTTCTGAAAACAAGTCTGAAACCACCCTAACCCAACTTTTGGTTGTAGAAATTAGTTTTTAAGGATACTAGCACCAAAAGCTGTCTTTATCCAAATGCACATTTCTTGGCCCCTCTCATCAGAAGCTGTCTTTACCTAAATGCATGTGCATTTCTTGGCCCCTCTCATCATGACATCTGGAAAAAACCCTTCTAGCTTTAAATAATCTATAAAAGTAATTTCAAGTGTTTTCCAAATAACTGTAATTTTATATAAATTCCATATGTAATGAGTATACTTAAAAATAACTACACCTTGGAAATTACAAGCAGTAATGAAAAGTCATTAGTAAACTTTTTATGCAGTTATCACACAGTAAGTCAAATGTAGTCCTTCTACAAACCCATCTTGAAACAGGGAGCCTTCAGGTCATTGATTCTTCTTATAAATCCTGAGGAAATTCAGTAACTTTAAATTAAAGATTCCTGAGGATAAGATTAGAGGGAGCAAAAACCAGATATTTATCTATCTTCTTTCTCAATTTGTCCATAACCTCAACACCTCACATGCACTTCTCTACCTCAGCATTATTAAAATTAAAATACTGGGGGGGCTAGCAGGTGGCATGGTGGTGAAGGGCACTGGTCTCCCATATGGCTGACTACAGTTCAAGTCCCGGACCTGGTGGCTTGCTTTCTCACTTACCCTCTCATCTCCCACTCTGTCCCTCTCTGATCGAATTTAATTAATTAATTAATGTTACATAAAAATCATTCTTTTTAAAAAATTAAAATATTGATCTTTTTCTTTTTCTCTCTGGCCCACATGCAATCAGCACAGAGTATAAAATGTCCCCAAAATGAGACACAGTAAATAGAGACGTTAAGGGAGTAAAGCTTTCCAGAAATACGAATTTAAAAGCTCTGAATTAACAGAGTTGGTAAAGACACAGGGTCTCCCCCGCCCCCCACTTTAAAAGGTAGCAATGAGGAAGAACAAATCAAGAAAGGTCAAAACAGAATCACAATAGTAGGATTATGCTGAATACCTCACAATTTTCTATCTCAAAGTGCAATATGATATAAATAACATTACTGTCCAAACTGTCTACAGCTATTTTTCCTCCCTCTAACAACCTTACGTCAATAGAAAGCTCTTGTACCGAAAAAAAAAAAAATGTTAATCAAACTTGTGCTCCTGATGGTATTACGAATCTGATTGAACTGTCCTAGATTCCACTCGCTTACCCCAATCCATAAAACCAATAAACTCAATAAAGCACTCATTCTTAACAAACATCCTCCTAATATGATATGGACACCACCAAAGAACAATGTACTTTAAGTATCCTGACACAGAGACAAATAAGCGGTTCGGGTAGTTCGAGAAAGTTACACTCCTTTCACAGACCTCGTAATGACGCTAAAGGGAACTTGCGTAAGTGACACACCCAGGGCAGACCGCCACGTTAAGGATACAG